TAACTCCATGAGTAACAAGTGAATACACCATGATTATATACTACAATGATCAAACAAACAATGGGATGTGTGATTTCCGCCTTAGAGCAGATGCGCTCAATCGATTGTTTGTTTACTCTGAGTTGTATATCACTTGTATCCATTTAGTACTCATAGAAAGGATTGTAGAATCATTTTTACGTATCTTTCACCAAAGTAGAAAGTATAGGATTTTCTAAGAGGAACTGGCGAACTTTTCTAAATAGAATTTACGATTTACTAATATCACTAAAAACTTATGAACTCACCAGCTTAATTGCTGATAAACTCTTTCAAATAACTTGTATTCTCAGGAGCCTAGTAGACAGGTACTTGCACTGGAATTCAGAAGATGGAGCAGTATAGCTTCAAGTCTTGTTTTGTTATTTGTATATGTATTCTATGTTTTGCGAACACACACCTTGTAAACACTTTCCTTCTAATGAAATGGTTGTTTATTACTTTGATTACTATGATGCATGTCTTGTGATACTAAACATGACGTCCTCCACCCCATAACGTTTCCGCCGTTCCGGTTTTGGGTGACAAATAACGAGAAGCAAATGCCCCACACCGCATGCTCTAAGGGAAAACACTTTCCTTCCAGATGATGATGGAATTAATTCCTTTCTAGAAAGGAAGTGACATTTTACCTTATTACCCTTGTTTTATTTCACAACATAACCTCTACCACCACCCACCCACCCACCACCACTACTTACCACCACCACCCACCACCACCACCTACCACCGCCACCACCACCACCACCAACCACCCCCATCGCCACCGCCACCCGCCGCTACCGCTACGGCCACAACTACTGTCGTCATCACCACCATCCACATATCACCACCACCACCGTCACCACCACCGCCGCCACCACCACCACCACCTACCACCGCCACGGTACCACTACCCCCACCTATCGCCACCGTCGTCGTTGCCACCACCACCACCTACCACCGAAATCGTCACCTATCACCACCACCACCCGCCACTTACCACCGACAACCGCCACCACCACCACTCGCTACCAACTACCACCGACACCACCACCACCCGCAACCACCAACTGCTACCTTCATCACTATCTACCACCACCATATATCTGTAACGACCCAATTTTCAAAAGATTTTTTTTTCATTTTTAATTAACCAAAACACGTTCCACCAATCATGTAATCTCAAATACAATTGTTTTCAATTTCATAATAACAACAATTTTTATTTTAAAACATCAGAGTGTCCCATGATAACGACTGAGAGAGAGTGCACGCCGCGCCATCAAGCCTTGCCCTTGCCCTTGGGCTCAGATGTACCTGAAACAAATCCACAAACTGTAAGCTAATGCTTAGTGAGTTCCCCAGAGCATACCCCACACACAATCCACATATCATATTAGCTATAGAAGCTACATATATCACATGAGCCATGCATACAACATATAGGGATGCCATGGGCTCGTTCCCAGGGTCTTACTCCAGGATGCCATGGGCTCCCCACATGGTCTTACACCTAAGTGTCATGGGCTCTCCCATGGTCTTAAATAGGAAAGTCATGGGCTTTCCACATGGTCTTACATCCGAGTAGGGGTGAGCATTTGGACCGAATCGGACTGGACCGGACCGGACCGGCTCTTGAATCGGACCGGTTATGGAGAATATTGTGGACCGTGGATCGGACCGGATGAGTCGTGTCCGTGTCCGGGTCCGGGTCCAGGTCTGGGTTTTCCGGTTCTTGGACCCGTTTGGACCGGTACAACTTTAATTGCATAGAGTACAAGTCGTTAAAATAAGTTTTTGGGTTTGATAGAACTCGTTAAAACGAATATGTTATTGGGTTTGATACGATACAACTTGTAAAAATGATTATGTTTCTGTTTCATGCATAACGAATCTCCCTTGATGTTATAATATTATAACTTGCAAAATTAATTTTCCAAATAAAAGAAACTAACATATAAATCAAGTTCACCAAGATCCTTTTCATATGATTTATCTGTCAAAGATACATAAAATTCAAAATTATAATCTAAAATAATAGTTAAAAAGCTGAAATATTTCATCTTTGATAGCTAAACTTTGAAGGATTGTAACTCACTGAATATATTACCAAAATCAACAAAATTATAGTCTAAATTCATCTACAAACTGTAAACTAAATATTGGAAAAAACCGCAAGTCAATCCGACTTAAAACGAACGAGTTATGGTTGTTTAAAAAATTTCACAGATTACAAAATTTTAAAATTTTTGCTGAAAAGTTGAAAATTTTCAGCTTTGATAGCTCAACTTTGAAAGACTTTAACTCATTTAATATAATACCAAAATCAACAAAATTATAGTCTAAATTCATCTACAAACTGTAAATTAAACTTTGGAAAAAACCGCATGTCAATCTGACTTAAAACGAATGAGTTATGGTTGTTTAAAAATTTTCACAGATTACAAAATTTTAAAAATGTTGCTGAAAATCATAAAATTTTCAACTTTGATGGCTCAACTTTGAAAGACTGTAAGTCATTGAATATAATACCAAAATCAACAAAATTATAGTCTAAATTCATCTAAAAATTGTAATTTAAACGTTGGAAAAAACTGTGTGTCAATCCGACTTAAAACGAATGAGTTAAGGTTGTTTAAAAAAATTCACAGATTACAATTTTTTTTTAAATCGGGTCCAACTTGTTCTAAACCCGGTAAAAACCGGACCGGACCGGGAAAAAGACCAGACCGGTTTTGATGGATTCCTAGAACCGAGAACCGGACCGGGGGTCCAAAAAAACGGTCCGTTCCGGTCCAGTGGTCCACCGGTCCAAATGCTCACCCCTACATTCGAGTGTCATGGGCTTTCCTATGGTCTTCCATACAAGCATACCACATATACAACTAGCAATCACATATCATAAAATGGGCCGGCATTGGTGCCTTAGACCCATTGGTATGGTGAGGAGACTCACCTCTCGAATGCTGAACTGACAAGCTAAGATCGGATGTATCCCACACACTGCTCCTCCTCAGCTGCCTATAACCAACATGTGATTAACTTATCATAATCCCATAATTACCCTCAAAGTCAACCCTGGTCAAATTCAAGGTCAACAGTCCATGTTGACCTCAACTCGTCGAGTGCATCCTAGCAACTCGTCGAGTTCCTCCCGAGTCCATTCCACTGAATCCCGCATCAAATCGCCGAGTCACCCTAGTGACTCTTCGAGTTCATCAAATGTCTAGAAAACTAAAGTCCGTTCAGACCAAAACCCTAATCCTTCACTGCACTCATCCAGAAACTCTGAAACGGGTAATCCCTACCCCGACTCGTCGAGTCAGCTAAGGGACTCGACGAGTTCCTTTAGTCCCTTTCAAGTTCAACCCTTTTTAGTGGGATCTAAGGTCCCAAACTCCAAATCCAAACTTCCCTAGTGCAGATACCACGTAAAGTTGCAAACTTTACGTGCATACAAGGCCCTTCAAGGCTATAACATCAAAGCTAGGCTTCTTACAAGGTTTTTGTGCATGGAAAAGGGCTAAGCTATATAAAGTGAGCAACTTTATGTCATTGGGGACATAGAGAGGTCCAGATCTGGAACCATATCCTTGTGATAAGTCCATATCCGAGTTTGACTCCATTTTGCACAAAAAAATGGTCATTTACTTCCAAGAAAAGGGATCTAATCAACTAGAGATCAAGGTGACGACTTTATACCTCAAGATGATGGCCGATACAGAGTAGATGTCGGATCCACTACTTCTCTCCTTGCTCCTTCCTCTTCAAGCTCTAGAATCCTTCACAAATACCCCAAAATTGCTCACAAAAGCTCTTACTCTCACTCAAGAAGGTACAAGGTCGAATTAGGGTTTTCTCTGGCTAATAGGGTGATAAGGGAGGCCACAAGAGGCGGATTATGTTCTTTAAATAGGGTGCAAACCCTAAAAATTAGGGTTTCTCTTTACAACTCCTACTCGTCGAGTCGGGGCCTTCTAACTCGTCGAGTAGAACCCAAATCCCGCATCCTCATAATAGTCTCTACTCGACGAGTTGGAGCACCCCAACTCGCCGAGTCCATGCACAAAACCCTAAAAATTATATAAATTAATCAATACCTGGAACAAGTGTTATAATATCCCTGTCACCATCACCTCCACCACCACCACCCACCCTACCGCCATCGCCACCACCACTCACCATCACCGCCACCACCACCCACCACTACCCACTACCCTCAACCACCACTACAACCACCATCATCATCGCCCACCACCACCGCCACCATCTACCACCACCATCACCATGAATGTTCAATTAATAAAATGAAAAGTTACTATTTTTATAGTTTATATAGAGTTGAATTTCATTTTTAGTTTTCAATGAAAGTTTAAAAAAAAAACATTTGGTTGAAACCGGTGTAGTTTTTATTTTTCCTTTTAGAAAATTAGAAAATTTTGGAAAACTATAAAAATCATTTTTATTTTAATTTACATACAAATTGGATAAAAATTTCATTTTCTTGGAAATTTTTGAAAACTGAATCAATCAAACGCGTTTTCAAAATTTTTATGGAAAACTGAAAAATTTCTTACAACCAAACGAACTCTTAGTCGTTAGTTAAAAAGATAGTTATTTAAAAATTTTAGCCGTTAGTTGATTAAAAAATGATGTTTAATAAAAATATTTGATAAATTAGTTAAGAATATAAAATGACATGTAAAATTTCATGTATACACGATGAAAAATGTTATGTTACTGTTTGAAGAATTTTATATGGATTATGCATGTACTTGTTATATTATGCATATGCAAGCATGTTGGAGGAACATTCATCTTGATATATATATGAATTTCTCAAATCATTTATACGTATAATGGATGTATCTTTTTTATGCCCTTTATTTTTTCAAATTTACCAATTTAGCCTTAGCAAATTTTGTAATTAGGGGGACGTGAAGTACACACGTGTTTGTGGAAAATCAGATAGAATCCGAAGGATTCATACATTTGTTGGATAATTTCATATTCCCAAATACTGTATCGATGGTATAAATAACACTCCTCATTCTGAAGCACAAATGGGAATAGCAACGATCCGCAGCAGGCCCACTAATATTCATTGCTTCCCAACTTTAATTTTCACTTCTACTTTTGTGATTCCGCACAAAATTCCAAAACTCCTGAAGAATCCCTACTCTATTTCATGCAATTCCGGTAATTTTCTCAGGTACCCGTTGATATCGTCATTTACTTTACTTGAGATCTTAAGTTTAGTTTCTTTGATAAAATTTCGCCCCAAAAGCATTGATCTTGAGTTTAGTGTCCTGGATATACGATTGTTCTGAATGCCATGCTCGGCCTTTTACTCTACCATTTCAAAGCAACAACAAGTCAACAACAATAGTTGTGAAGTTGTAAAATGATATTTAAATTATTATTATTTGTTCTTTTTGCAACTAAAAAGAGGAGTGAGATTACAAAGTCAACTATCGAGATCAAAGACTGAGTTGATTATAGCATACGATCAAACTGAAAACCTAGTTGTTTTGCAGAAATAACAATAAGAGTACTACAATAAGCAGAATCTTAGCAGAGTCTAAGATGGGAGAGAGTGCAGGGGCATCTGCGACTGTTAGTGACATGGTATTTGAACCGATTCTGGAAGCAGGTGTTTTCAGGTTTGATTCTTCTGCTGATGCTAGAAACGAAGCATTTCCCAGTCTTTCTTTTGTTAATCGGAAAGACAGGGACACACCCATTATGAGTAATCACAAAATCCCATCCTACATCCCAACTTCTGAACATGTTTCAGGTCAACAAATTGTCTCTTTTGAGGTCAGTTTTATCTTCCTGAAATACCATATACTTTGCAAGATTATTGCTATGATTAATTACATCTCACTAACACTCACGGATATGGTAATTAGCTTCCTGCAGGAACCTCATTTTATGGAACAGGTGAAGTTAGTGGACAGCTTGAAAGAACAGGAAAAAGGGTTGGTTTCTATTTTTTTTTATCATAACAAATATTTGGAGTATCATAACAAATGCAATAAACACAGGTTTTTACTTGGAATACTGATGCATGGGGGTATGGGAGTGGAACTACATCCTTATACCAATCACATCCATGGGTTCTAGCCATTCTTCCTAATGGAGAGGCATTAGGATTTCTTGCTGATACAACAAAACGCTGTGAGGTGCTCAAAGATTATTATAACTTACAGTATGTCATTTTTCTCCATTTTGTGAATGATTTTGTATCTAGCCATTTTCTTTTTGGAATATATTTAACAGATTGATCTGCGTAGAGAATCAACAGCAAAGCTAATTGCTCCATCGCCTTTTCCTGTGGTAACATTTGGTCCATTTGCTTCAGTAAACGATGTTTTGACATCATTATCACATGCAATTGGTAATTTCCTTAAAACTATAATGAAGTTTTACATCTCTTCCAAATACTTCTTTTTGAAGGTCATCTATTTTTACTGATAGGAACTGTTTTCATGCCACCAAAGTGGTCATTGGGATATCAACAATGCCGATGGAGCTATGACTCTGATTTGAGGGTTCGTGAGGTATGTTAAAGTTTTTCACACATTCAAGAATTCTTATTCTGAATGTATGATTTCACCATATTGGTTTTTAAACTTTTTACTGTGTAGATTGCCAAGACATTTCGGGATAAAGGTATACCTTGTGATGTCATATGGATGGATATTGACTACATGGATGGATTTCGTTGTTTCACCTTTGACCAAGTATGTTAATGGATATTGACTCTTAAAGTGAAGTTCATCATTCATCAATCATCAATCATCAATCTTTTTTTATTGCTCTTAGGAGACTTTTCCAAATCCAAGATCACTAGCGGATGACCTTCATCGTATGGGTTTTAAGGCTATCTGGATGCTTGACCCTGGGATAAAGCATGAAAAGGGTTACTCTGTATATGAAAGTGGATCAGAAAAAGACATATGGGTTCAGACAAAAGATGGAAACCCCTTTGTTGGTATGTCCATCTCTATGAAATATGAATTGTATTTAATCTTCAACTGTTTTCAAAACGATTCTCATAAGTTTCATTTCCCATTTTCATAATAGGAGAGGTATGGCCAGGAGCTTGTGTTTTCCCTGATTTTACTCAAGAAAAAGCTCGTTCTTGGTGGGCTAATTTAGTCAAAGATTTTATATCTAATGGTGTGGATGGCATATGGAATGACATGAATGAACCAGCTGTTTTCAAGGTCAAGTTTACACCTTTTTCCTTATTTCATAATCTTTCTGATCTATTTATCATTATCATTATTATTATTTCATCTCACTAGATTTGTTTTCCTTTTTCCAGTCTATTACAAAGACAATGCCTGAAAGTAACATTCATAGGGGAGATGATGAACTCGGTGGTCATCAAAATCACTTGCACTATCACAATGTAAGCTACTCTAATTAGTCTATACATATGATTGAGAACTTTTAGTAATGTAGTTTCTGATTTAGGTTTATGGAATGCTAATGGCAAGATCAACATATGAAGGCATGAAATTAGCCAATCCAAATAAACGCCCATTTGTTCTTACACGAGCTGGCTTTATAGGTAGTCAGAGGTATGCTGCCACATGGACAGGAGACAATCTATCTACTTGGGAACATTTACATATGAGCATCTCTATGGTACTCCAACTGGTAAGTAGTAAGCTTCTCTATTAGAATACATAATCTATTATTATTTCCTACAGTTAATTTTTAATATCACCAATATTATTTCAGGGGCTTAGTGGTCAACCACTTTCAGGACCTGATATTGGTGGATTTGCAGGGAATGCAACACCCAAATTATTTGGAAGGTGGTTTGGTATTGGTGCCATGTTTCCATTTTGTCGAGGACATTCTGAGAAGGGAACTGTTGATCATGAGCCTTGGTCATTTGGGGAAGAGGTAATCCCTTTTTTTTAATTACATTTTAAATATTTTAAACTATTTGTTCATTAATTAATCTTTTTACAGTGTGAGGAAGTTTGTAGGTTGGCTTTAAAGAGGAGGTATCGCCTTATACCACACATATATACACTTTTCTACTTGGCACATACAAGAGGTTCTCCAGTGGTATATCCTGCTTTTTTTGCTGGTATGATATGTTTATTTTCATCCATATATATTCGTTTTTAATTTAATTTTTCAGTTTCTTTAACTTTATTATCTTTTTTGTAGATTTGAAGGATTCCCAATTAAGAAGAAATGAAAATTCCTTCCTTTTGGGCCCACTTCTTGTATATTGCAGCACTTTGAGTGATCTTGGAGTGCATGAAATACTTCATACATTGCCTAATGGAAATTGGATGAGTTTTGATTTTCAAGATTCACATCCAGTAAGAATCTCCTTTAAAAAAAAAAAGAAAAAAAAAACAAAGACTTGTTTTTTATATATATATTTTTTAATTTCTCAGGATTTACCAGCACTATATCTACGAGGTGGATCGATCATCCCATATGGTCCAGCTCATCAACATGTGAGTGAAGCTAATGTAAAGGATGATCTGTCATTGTTTATTGCATTAGATGAAAATGGTAAAGCTGAAGGTGTTCTCTTTGAAGATGATGGTGATGGCTATGAATATACAAACAAGGGTTATCTTTTCACAACATATGTTGCTGAGCTCAAATCTTCAGTTGTCACAGTCAGTGTCTCCAAAACTGAAGGATTGTGGAAAACACCAAATCGCCACTTACATGTCCACCTATTGCTCGGTGAAGGAGCTATGGTATATGTTCTATCTTTTCCTCTATTTTTCATTTCTCTTTTCATATTTAGATTTTAATTCTATTTTTTTCAGGTTGATGCATGGGGTACTGATGGAGAAGATCTGAAAATCACTCTGCCTTCAGAAAATGAAATATCAAATTTAATTTCTGCTAGTAAGAACAATTACAAGACACGTATGGGTAAGTATGGATCTAAATACTTTACAACTAATGTTTTTTGCTTTTTATTTAAGTGATTAGTTATCTTATTGTTTATTTAAGTGATTAGTTATCTTATTGTTTATTTTATTTAATCTAATGTGAAATTTTCAGAAAGTGCAAAATGTATACCAGATGTGGAGCAGGCATCTGGACATAAAGGGGTTGAGCTTTCAGGAACTCCTGTGGAAGTTAAAGGTGGTGAATGGGCTCTCAAAGTTGTCCCTTGGATTGGGGGTCGTATCATATCTATGGAACACCTTCCTACAGGTAAATATAATCTAAATTACAGTCAACATTTCTCTTATTTGGTCAAAGGTCAAACCATAGTCATATATGTTTATTGGGAACAGGAACTCAATGGCTTCATAGTCGAGTAGAAATCAATGGGTATGAAGAATATAGTGGTACTGAATATCGTTCTGCTGGATGTACCGAAAAGTATACAGTCATTAAGTGAGTTAATCTTTAATCTTTTTAAGTTTAAAAAGTTACTTTTTTGAAATAATCAAAATAATAATTGAATTATTTTTTTGTAAAGTCGGGATCTTGAGCAAGCAGGAGAGATAGAATCTTTAAAAATGGAAGGTGATGTTGGAGGTGGATTAGCTATTGAAAGAAATATCTCTCTCTCAGAAGATAACCCTAAACTTTTCAAGATTGACTCGAGTCTTTTAGCACGCAATGTAGGTGCTGGTTCTGGAGGGTATTCAAGGTTGGTTGTTTTTTTTTTTTAAATACCATTTTGCCATCTGTTCTTTTCTCATTATTAATTTATATAATAATTTTTTAACAATTATGATCATATTATGGTCATTTCACAGGCTTGTTTGTTTAAGAATCCACCCAACATTTAGTCTTTTTCACCCAACTGAGACATATGTCTCATTCACCTCCATTGATGGATCCAAACATGAAGTATGGCCGGAATCCGGGGAGCAGCTCTATGAGGGGCATCTTCGTCCAAATGGTAATTAAATATTTGTTTGTTATAAATCTTTTTAGATTTGAAGTTGAAAAAAAAAACTACATTGACTTGTTCTTCAGGTGAATGGATGTTGGTTGACAAGTGCCTTGGGTTGGGTTTAGTCAACAGATTCAATGTTGACCAGGTATACAAGTGTCTTCTCCATTGGGATTTTGGGACTGTGAATCTTGAGCTTTGGTCAGAAGACAGGCCAGTTTCAAACCAGTCGCCTCTTTGTATTTCTCACAGTTATGAAATTAAGCGGATTGTGTAGTGCTACTTTTATACTTTTATTGTTACATTTCAATAATAACTGGATATTAAATAAATGCTAATTCGCTTATGAAAAAAGAAATCAACACTGTTGGGGCAATGTATGCTGGTGATTGATCAATTGAGTTGTGTTTCTTTCATAAAACCAGTCACTAACTACTTCAGCAATAGCCTGCACATGGGATTGAAATTATATCAATATAAATTTAAAGGTGAAAAGCAAACACATACTTTGACTTTTACAAGTCAAATAAGTTACCTTGTTATCCAACTTTGAAGCAGGATCTCCAAGCCAGTTTATCTGATTTCCTGATTGGCAGTGTGAATAACAAGAATTGATGAACAATCCTCTTGATGTGGAGTTGAATCTGGATTTACCCATTCCTGACATCAATGTCTTTATGAAATCTGACCTAAAATCTGAATATACAGAAGAAAAAAAACTTTATAAGTTTTTTGAACCTATGTTACATTTAGGGTTTGTTTAGATTAGAAGAATGACCTTGCAATCTTTTGAGTTGGGTAGATGAGCAGTTTGATATGTTTGACTTGCATGCAGACCATGAATCATGGCGATCAGCCTTTTTTGGTGCTAAGATGTTTTGTATCTTAAAAACAGTATTATATATATATTCACAGTTCAGACACGTGCACATGGAATCACACACAAAAACCAAGAACACACAGTTGAAGATGAAGAACCTGATATGCATCGTAAGCAGTGTTTATGACAAACAAGGGTGTCTTGATTTCTGGCAAAATAAATTGTGGGTAGAAGCACTGCAAATAATACTGAAATTGTTACGTCTCATGATAAAAATGAACCAGGCTTAATTAAGTTTCATGATCACATTAAAACAATATTAATTTATAGTCTGACTTCCAATTGAGGTCAACTTCCTATATAACTTTTTAAGTTGTATTATATATAGCTTACCAAGCCAGGTTTCATCTTTGAAGTACATGAAGAAGGAAGATTTATCTTTGAATTCTACAGCCAAAATCAAGGTACCTTATCAGAACTAAATATGATAAGAGTGTACACACACTAGTGTCTGTGTGTATGAGAGAGAGAGAGAGGGAGAAAAGAGAGAACATGTAGTTTAACGATCTTGGTGAAGAACTTCTGAAAGTGGTATTTTCCAGAAATGTCCTTCCTGTTAGAGAACACAATGAGTCAGCTATAATATATCAAAATTAAGACAATAAAGAGTTGTAGAAAACGTAAAAGTGAGATTATATACACATGAACAAAGTAACCGGCATCGGGAGCACATTTGACTTGAGAAGTTGGTGGCAACATGGCTCGAAACTTGTCACAATACAATATTGACGCTAACCCACCAGAAGAACAACCGGTTAGAAGAGCCTGCATGGCGCCAATTAAATAAGAAATCAGTCAAATATTGACTGATCGAGTGACCTGACTGGAAGAAATTAGAAAGCACAGGGACCTAAGACGTATAAAATAAAAGTATGCTGCAATTTAATGACTAGAGAGAACTAGAAGCATTTACACTTGATGCTTTACTGAGTCCTTTTTGTAGCAGTTCCTCAAGAATAACATTGAAGATCCTTGCACCTCTATAGTGAAGATTAGTAGCCTGAAAATTAATTTGTAAATAAATTCATGCGAAAATTAATATTACATATGTTATAGTTTAGTTTGTGATGGAGATTCAAAATAACTTACAGGGTCAACTTTTTCTACATCCCCGGTAAATGATGCTCCATCACAGTACCTCATGATGACTCTATTCCAGTTGTAGAACCCTGCAAAATTAATTAATTAATCAACTTTATTTGTACGTAGCAAAGTTATGGCCCATGGATTCTAATTTGTCAATGAAGGGTACTTTGGTCATTTTATTGTAATTTACATTTGCCAAAACAGCAAAGGATTAAGGATTGGAATTGAATTCCGTTACATTTTCATTTTCAGTCAACCAAATGCAACGCTTCATCATGCTTATATATAGTTTATGTTGTGTTTACGTGGAGTACCTGGATTGAACTCTGGCTTACTGCTAAAAACTCCTGTGAAATTGAACTTTTGCATACGTGTTGATGAACCCACACCATTACTCATGTTCACGCGTAATAAACAACTTTTTGTCGACTCACACCATCCTCCTCCCTAACCACATGAAATCAATTTCAACATTATCATGCATATATATATATATATATATATATATATATATATATATATATATATATATATATATATATATATTCTAAACTATCTCACACCATAAATAGTGAATTTCATTTTCATCTTTCAATTGTACAACAACATCAGGTTTTACAATTAACTCCTACATCAATGCAATGCAAACTATTTGAAATACATTAATTACACGTGTATTTTAATCATTTTAAAAACTTAATTACTTATATCTAAAATAGTGTGAGTACTAATTAACTAACCTGTATGTGAATTAACCACTTATCAACACCTTCTCCGAATCCTTTATCAAACTGATATGCGGGTGGACTTCCATCTAAACAAACTGCACCACACCATCTAAAACATTACCCACCAAATAAAAACATTGATATATGTATATTAGTACACTTTAATTAAAGTTTGTGAAAATAAAAAGAACATATATATATTTAAGATGATTACCCACGAAATAAAAACGTTGATAGTAATTAGTACACTTTAATCAAAGTTTGAGAATTTAAAAGAACATATATATTTACCAGCTCCTTTGGCAATGGCACTCTGAATGAAAGTCATCTCGACATTGTCTGAGCATTCTGTTTCTGACAATATGATGATCAGTAGTAGAAATATTAAGCACAACCATTGGCATGGTCTTGTGAATGTGATGCTTGCCATGGTGAGCCTTGTCCAAAAACTTCATTCTTGCATACCTTTTAAGAGTCGGAAAGGTTGTATATTTGAATTCAAGTGGGTTATAATTTCAATAAAATATATGCAAACTGTAATTTAATGAACATGCCGTCCAGCATTTGTATCGATCTCAACAAGCATATATGAAACTAAAATCAATTTTGACTTGTATACAGTAAGTCAACCTTCAACTTAGAGATCCAGATCTGGAATTCCAAAAGCGAAAGTCAAGTAAATATACTAAGAAATACAAACATTTTCTTACTATATATGGTTTGTCTCAAATTATGTCTGCTTACAAGATATTGATGAGATAGAGATATATATGGTATATAAATCTTCTAATTTCATTTTATTAATGGTTATTTTAGACATTTAAGTTGCGTTTAGTTGCAGAAAAACAGTTTTCATTTTCTGTTTTCTGTTTTCCGTTTTCAGTTTTCGTTTTCCGCTTTCAGTTTTCACTGGAAAATTTAGAAAACGTGTTTAGTTAAATCTTATTCATTTTTCATTTTCCGTTTTAGAAAATTAGAAAACGCGTTTAGATGTGCATTTTTCTATGAGTTTTCATTTTCCATTTTTTGTTATTTTAACTAACATCACACAAACCTGCAATGCCATTCACACTCCACCCCACACCACCTTACCCTACCCTACCTCATCCCACACTACCCCACCCCACCAACCCACCCCACCAGCCCTACCCCACCAACCCCTACCCCACCCTATCCCACCCCACTTCACCCTACCTCATATCGATCTAAGATTGATCATCCATAGTTACCAAATCATTTCATGGTGCATTTTATTTTAATGTTATTCATATGATGTTTTGGGCTAAGTTTAATGCATTAATTCATATCTTTGGAGTAGGTGGGGGGGGGGGGGGGGGGAGGATGTGGGGGTGTGCGTATATGTGTTGTGTGTGTGTTTGTGGGTGTGGGTGTGTGTGTTTGTGGGGGTGTGGGTGGGTGGGGGTGAATCCGTGTTTGTGTGTATGTGTGTGTGTGTGTTTTGTGGGGGTGTGGATGGGGGTGGGGGGTAGGTAGGGGTGTGGTGGGTTTGTGTGGGTTTTGTGTGTATGTGTGGTTTGTGGGGGGTGTGTGTGTGTGGGGGGGGGGGTTCCGTGTTTGTGTGTGTGTGTGTGTGTTTTGTGGGGGTAGGGGTGGGTGGGTAGGTAGGGGTGTGGTGGGTTGGGGGTGTTAAGGTGGGTTAGGTAGAGGTGGGTGGGGTGAGAGTAGGCATGTGTTTATATTTTAGAAAAATTTTGGAATTAGAAAAATATGAAAAACAATGATTATTGGTTTTCCAAAAAAATCCAATTTCTTTGTAATTTTAGAAAACAGAAAATTTTCATTTTCCGTGAAAAATTTAGAAAAATAGACGAACTAAACGCGTTTTCAAAATTCTCATTTTTCTTGGAAATTTTTTCCGGAAAACGCCCCATTTTTCCGTAACTAAACGCACTCTTAGGGATTGTCCAGCAGAATAAGCTACTTATTGTAATTTAGTGGTCAGTAAAACCAAAAAAATAACTTATTGTAGCTTATAAAATAGTTTATTGATAAACTATCTTATAAGCTAAAATCTAGATTTTCAGCTAATACGTTAAACATGACCTTGGTAGAAAGCAAAATTGTTTTCTTATGAGATAGATAATTCTTTTTCGGAGCATGTAAGTCATCCACATATTAGAAGACTATGTCCGGCGAACTAGCTAAAAAGATAATTGATAGCTGAAAAACTAGATATTAGTTCAAAAAAATGACGTTTAGTAAAACAAGCTAAAATATGTAAAATTATATAATAGTGGATATAAAAGATTGATGTATTTTTTATAATCAACAAAAAAATATATTTGATAGAAATTTCAAAAGTTCAATGAGAAACGCTAATATGAGTAGATTTTTAAGCTAGTTGTGACAAACATAGCCTAAAACATTTTTTGACATATCATATTTCCACTAATTTTATATTATAAAAACATATTTACATAAATCTTTTCTAATCATTCATCATTTTTTAAAGCTTTTTCTAAAATATCTAATTTATTTTTACTTTGTTATTCTATCAACTTCCTTAACTAATTTAAGAATTATAACGGTATGTCATTATATTTATGTCATTATATTTATGTCGGTCTTTTATTTCAAAAAGATAAAAAAAAATATTTATTTAGTATGTATATAGTTATAATAATAATAATAAATAAAAATGTTATATGGCCCTTACGAATATAATAATTATATTAAAGTTATTAAAAAAAATTAATGTGTCGTAAGGGCACATATGAAACATTAATTGAAGTATTAATTATGAGAAATATTACTATAATTAAATGTGATAGACATTAATTAATTATGGTAATATTCCTCATAATTAATATTTTAATTAATGTTTCATATATATGCCCTTAGGACACATATTAGAAAATCTCAAACAAAAATAAATTAATTTAATCTTTCCATGTAATATTGTATTTAGTGTCAACTCAAGGAGGTTACCATGCTAAAGTACAAACGAAAATATTTAAGACTGTATTTGGTAGAGTATCTGAAAAACTAATTTTTAGATCAAAAACTAATTTTCACCTACTAAACTAGTTGGTAGCTATAAATTAGATAGAAAAATATAAAATGACTTTTAAATGTATAATTAAAAGCATTATTAAACAAATTATAGTTGCAAAAAACAAAAGCAAATGGTGTAGTGACTCACTGACTTGTAAGTTGTCTAATGCCCGCAGTCCAAGAAGGTGTATAACCCAAGAATCAGAAAGCTAAAATGTCTAATGCCAGCAGTCCAAGAAGGTGTATAACCCAAAAATAAATTACTAGGTGCAACTAACAAAATTGCCTTAATTAAAATAAAACAAAATATCATGAATTTCAATAACAGAATACAACATTTTCATGAAATACAAAACCCCTAATATCAGGGTCAGGGTAGGTTGATTTATATATACACCAAAATTAAATTAAAATATAATATATTTTTCTCATCAAACATTGTTGGAATCACGAAGAATTTGAACTCGCCAAACAAAGTAGCGAATATACAAAGCATTCAGAGTCATCGCTACTCCAAACCCCAAAATCCCTGACAACATTACCGCATAGATTGCCTTCAACTCAAGCTGCAACAAACAATATTCAATTGACCAAAATACCCTTGTGAAATCAAAATAATCACATCACTCACCCAAGAATAAAACAAGTGCAGAATCATAGCTACAAGTGCAAATTCAAGAGCTGCATAAGTCCAAATATACTCCCTGATTGCTGTAAAATTGGAACAACATTAGAATAAAGGGAAATCATGTTGCAACATTTTATAAAAACTTTGAAGATAAATTATACCAAGAATAACCGAAAATGTCGATGACAGAATGCCAAATGTAAATGAGAATGGTGCAGCAATCACAATAGCTTGAGTTTTCAGGTCACGAATCTGCAGACAAAAAAAACAAATGTTTAAAACTGGACATGAATACATGATTGATTTAAAGGTGTCATTAATGGCTTACAAGAAGCTGCTCCAGGAAGAAGAAGTAGCATATTGTACTTATCAAAACTAGCACCACAAAATCCTGCCATGCACTGAATACACAAACATGTAACCATTAAAATGTGAAAATTTAATAAAGCTTATATATATTAAAATTAGGGTTAAGTTACCTTATTGTTCCTGAATTCAGATGCTGTTGATTTTGTGGATTCATATTCATGGTTTGTCTTTGAGCATAACTTGGCATACGAAGCAAAGTTACTGGTAAATTTGAGACTTCACGACCACAAACATCACAGTTTTTGTTCCCTTTAACACTAAACCATTTAACTGCACATTCTTCATGAACAAGTCTAAGCGCACCTTTGCAACTGCATTCCATCTTCAGTTGATTACCTTCATCACATGAATCAAAGCAGATTCTGCAAATCGCTTCTTCCTCATCAATCTCTTCATCGTTCTCCACTTCTACAGAACCGATTTGATCTTCGTTTCAAAACAAAATCGTTTCAACAAAATTGGAATATGAAAATCAAATCGCAAGTGTATACAATCAAAAACGTACCATTAGCACTATCGGCTTGATCATTATCCTTACGTGCGGCAAAAGAAATTGATCGTACGATAACAATGTTTCGCCCAGGTACAGAGAGCGACCTTGAAACCGTAGCTTGAATCTGCACACAATTTTATCGATGTACGACTGTAAACCCTAAAGCCCAAAGTTACAAACTAGCCCAATAAACCTAAGGGGCTTAATTTCAATTTTAAATCTATATTTTTCAGTAATATGATCGATCTTACATGTGATTTCTGTTGTTCGCTATATGTTCTTGCGGAAACGGGGGTGGTGGCTGAAGGGGAAGGGTTTGATGATGCGTGTTTGACTGGAAGAGATGTGCATCGTTTCCAGTGTAAATTGGAGATAGTATTGGAGACAATAGGGCTTTCAGGTGGTGGTGCGTTTGTGTCGGAAGGAAGAAGAGAGCTACTTTCACCATTATGAGGAACGTGATCCTTCTTTTTAAAGCTTAAACCTCGAAAAATGCCCCTTGAAGATGAAGATGAAGATGAAGTGCCATTGGATGAGATACCAGGAGACTGGAGTGAAGCTTTTTCACGCCGATTACTACTAAAATGTGCGTGTCTTGGAGGTATGTTCAGGGACAAATCTGAAAAACGAGTGCTTTTTCCATAATTTTTAACTTCATTTGTGGAGGATTCCTTCTCACTGGTATCAACCTGTTGTGTTGTTATTGAAGCATTCATATTCATATTGGGGGAAGAGAAATGGCCATAACAACAACAACAATAACATAAAGAAATTGAAAAAGTATTTGACTTTTGATGAAAACCTAGAAGTAGTCAAAGACTTTACACCTGCATTATTATATTTGCAGAAATTATTCAACGTTTTTTTATGGGGTTTGCAATCTTTGTAATGTAAACAATTATAAACTTGTATGTTGTAACAATCAAAAAGATGGCATGTACTCATACAACAACGAGCTTGATTGGGGTTTTTATTTTTCAGAGAAGAAAAATCGCCTTTAAAAACCAAGATTTGGGAGCTAACGAGATTCATTACAATCCTGCTATTCTTTCTTCACAAACCCTAAAGAATCGATCCTAATTTCTCATCCTTTTGAGAAGAACATAGGTCAACAAGATGTCAAACCGAACAAATAACAACTGAGCAAGGATTTAGCAATTTGAGCTAAATCTCAGTTGCCATGAACACAAAGAGCAGATTATAAATGAGTAAGCGATTTAAGCATAAGGGTTACCCAGAAGCAAAAATTACAAAACAATCATAAAAGCCACAAGCAAGAAGATGACAAAAGAAGAACCTCTGAAGCATTCCTGTCGTCGTCATCGGCAACTGCGCTGCTAATTTCGTGTGATGTTTGCATCTGATCTTCAATAAGCGTAGAAGCTACTCAAACAAAAGAGGTTGGAGCACTGTGAATAATTTTGATTATCAGTCCACCACTCCACTTATTCAAATCGATTTTGGAATACCGTTTCTTTAATTTCAAAATTATTATGTTTTAATGTCTTTTAGAAATTATTTTTATCAAAAACATCGAGTGGTGAATAGAATTGAAACAAGCAAATGGACAAAATGAATAGGATGATGACGATGACGATGAATTATTTATTCTAGGAACGTGAAAAAACAGGTGAAAGGGATTTTAATTGATCCAATTTTTTGATTTATGTGAATTGGATACCAAAAATTTTATTTATTTTACTGAATTTAACAGAAACCAATAATATTTTTCTCTATCTTGATATAAATATAAATTTTAGTTTAGTAATCTCATTAAGTGAGACTCATGTATTATACGAATTAATTAAAATAAAATTTTAATTGTTAAAAAAACTAAAAATGGTATTAAATTAAAATCGGTTATAATGAATTACATTGAATTTATCAATTATAGAGAGTCACTTTCAATTTGTTTCGAATTGTAATGTATTCTTTTTCTATCAAAACTATTTAAGACGTTGCACTTGAACTTCAAATGACTTTTGATCCATATAAATTGACTTCTATGATTTAAGTTAAAGTTTGAATTTGAAGCAGCCAATCAATATGTGTTAAGAAATTGGTGTAAGTTTGGTAATTATATGGTAAATTGTAATACCATATAAGAAACATGGTATTATTTTGAAAAGTATATATGATTAGTTTAGAATTTGGGGTGACACAATCAAAATTGGATGCGTATTTATGATATCATGGGAAAGAAACGTATATATAGCATTTATAATTTTTATTTTCAAAATTAATAGAATAAATACATTAATTAATTAATTAATCTCATTTAATACAAACCAACCACAAAATGACATGTGAAATTAATTTATTAAAAAAACCATAAAATTACATATGGCAAAACTTTTAAGAATTTGACAAGTGGCAAAAAAAAACATTCATTTATTAGAGAGGATTATTTTAAAAAAAATTAATTAATAAAACATTTGTAAACAAAATATGGTTGTTACTGATATTTTTATGACTAATAAAAAAAATCTAATACCGTGTAAAACAAATAGATTACTTGTTTACTTAATAATGGGTCATTCGCATCCTACTTTAAACTTTAAGGTTGTGTTGATTTTTGATGTGTCCATGTTTGGACATTTGTTAATTATGAATTTTAGTGTTAGTATTATTTTTATAAACTAATATGTCCACTAATCATATTATATTGATTTTCACTTTTTATTAGTGTTACTTTTTACCCTCATTTAGATTGACTTTTAGATTGTCCCCGCCTAAATGTTACATCTCTCTTTTTTTAGTATTTGGTATGAAATTATGGCATATATGCATAAATAATATAAAATCAACGTCATAAATGTAAAAAATCAAAGAAAACATTTCCAAAAGGTCCCATTTGGACCACAAACCTAAAGAGAATAAGTTGTCAATAATCAATATTATTACTTAATTGTTACGACATAAAAAGCATATGTGGAAAATTGAATTAATCGCTACAAAATTGTATGCAACAACTACATCTCTTTTGAGTGGAAGCATCAGTTTTTTCAACTTTCAGATTATTATTTTTTTTCCGAATTGGTATCTAGCTTAAAATATTCAAACTTTACAAAAGGGTGATTATAATTTATATGACTAAAAACAGTGTGCAGTATGACTCTGTAAAGCATGTATTAATAAATCTGTTATGATTTTTTGAATAACTATATGATCTCTTTCTGAATTTAAATTATTATGTTTTGTCAAATTCATCAACCTGTTTTGAAATGACAAATGATTTTTACCATTCGATACATTAATCTTGTTGATGCACAAAAATCAAATAACTATAATTGATATTTTGTTGGGAAACAACACAACACTGTCCATCAAATATCCAGAAACTTGTTGATTACAAACCGATCATGTTTTATGCCCCTTCTTTTTCTAACATGTTCCAACATAAACAAAAATAAATGAGACTAAAAAACGTTACCAAATCCTGGTCATGAGGCATAATAATCTTCTTATTTTAAAAAATCAAGGTTAATTATGTGAATCTTTTCTTATATAGATGTATTAATATTTTGTTTGCCTCTTAATTTCAATTGCGTTGACCTCGCCTTCCTTTTCTTACTTTCTTGTTTTCTTTCACCTTTCTTCCAAGCAAAAGAAAATAAATAACAAGGAAATAAGAGGTGAATTATTGATTAAGACACATCCATACCATACCTACAAAAGACATGTCATAATTCATATTCCTAAGATAAGCAATCATATCTTATTTTCTGAGAATTTAAAGTTCAGTTGAAAAGTTCTTGAACACAGTAATATGTAAAATTCCCAAATTTTGACATGGTTTATAAGTATAAAAGTTTAAACGAGGATAGAGTGTGAAATATCAAAACTACGCTTATATGAATGAGACCAAATGTCATGTCCCTCGAAGTGGAGAGAATTGTTTAGATTTCTTTTATCAATTATACAAATACCTTGAACTTATGAAACTTATCGGTTTTACATCAAAGAAACCATTTTATGTTCCAATAAATTATTAAAATACCCCTAAACATTTGAATTCGTTATTTTGGTCATTAGTAAAACCATTACATCAAAATGATTAATAAAATCATCCACATCAATATGATAACATCGTTTTTTCATTATGTCACGTTATCAATAAAATCATTCGCATCTGCTAAACAGATGCTACTATATTTACCCTCTATTTTTTGTTATATTTGATTAACTTAAGACAAAAACGTAAAAATGGTCTTTGTAGTTGTAAAAAATATTTGATTTTGGTCCAAAAACGTTTGATGGTAACTTTTGGATTTTTTTTAGTGATTTTGGTCTCTATACACTTAAATCGACTATAATGCCTTTATAATTTAATTTTTCCATTGTTTAATTGTTCTAATAATTAAATTGTTTAACATAGTAACCAACGGAAAGAAAAGCCACCCACTGACCCACATTGTCCTCTCTCTCTCTCTCACTCATTGTTTAACCAGAAACCACCTACAACGTCAAAATCTATCACCACAATCGCCATTCTCTCTAAAAATCACCGCCTTTCTCGCCGGAGATGAGTTTTTCAGAAGCCTCTCAATCTTCGTCGTCATCTTAAGCATCTTCCTCTCCGTCGCCGAATCTAAAAACCATCGGAAGCCTCTCCATCTTCGTCACCAGATTTAAAGTCTCTCTCTCTCTCTCTCTCTCTCTCTCTCTCTCTCTCTCTCTCTCTCTCTCTCTCTCTCTCTCTCTGGATCGAAAACCTTTCCAGAATATGTTCATTTACACCGCACACCTATAAACCCTAATGTTGGCGTTTCGGTGAGGAGGCGACGCTCCAACCACGAGGGCGGCGTTCCAGATCTACGAGAGAGAGAGAGAGAGAGAGAGAGAGAGAGAGAGAGAGAGAGGGTTGTTTGGCTTTTTTTTTCAGGTTTATGATGAGAATGATCGCGTTTCGGTGAGGAGGCAGCATTCTAATAAGGAGGGTGGCGGTCGGTCTGTTGGTGGTATTCACTTTTTGTGAGAATGAGAAGGTGAAATATGACTAACGTACCATGAGACAGAGAGAGAGAGGTGGGATGGATATATCCGTCATTTCGGGATGATTCTGGACCAAACACACATACACAAAAAAAAATTATATGGACCAAAACCGCATATTTTTCACAACCACATGGATCATTTTTGCAATTTTATCTGTAAATAATCTATGACATCATTTCTTTTTAATATTCTTTTTACAAAATATATCAATCACTCAAACACCCTATTACTATTATGAAAAATTAAACACCGTATTATTATTATTATTAACAAATTCATGTTTCTTGAAACCCATTTCATCCGTTTGATTTGTGTGTATCACCTTAACAAAAAAAAACAAAAAACGTTTCACCCTTTTGATTTGTGTGTATAAATTTGATCAAATTCAAGTTTCTTGAAATCGTATTTCATCCTTTTGATTTATGCATGTGTGCATAATATTTCTTGATAACAACATTGATGTACATCAAATACGGTTTGGATGAAGTAAGTAAGATTGTCAGGCCGGACTAGTGCCCGGCCCAATAAAGATGGGCTTATTAGGACCAAGTACGAATGTACGATGTTACTATATTTCTAACTTCAGTTCTAAACATGAGGTACAGCATTCTAATGCAAAAGAAACAAGTGTAAAATTACTCGTATACCCTTCCATCTGGATGTTATCCATTTGGGGCCTCACTTAACCTTCGTTTCACAAATTTAAAATTTTACTCTTATTATCTCAGTAACTGTTTTTAAACATAAGATCGTTTCTGAAGTTGATTTACATAAAGAGAAAAGGACTAAATTGCCCTCGGCATCTATAAAGATTCTATCACCTTCTATTCTTGTTCATCCTGACCAAGAGTTACAAGCATGTAAAGCCATATAAAATAATCATATACTTACCAAGTGAAAAACAACAAAACAAAGGTGTCACAATGGTCAGTTCCTATAGGATGATGTACCATAGAGTTATATCAAGATGTACAACCTATTAATGCATGGTATCCAAGGAAAGGGTAAAATCACCAAATTACCCTTGATTACAATTTGTGGAGAAATCTTGATGCACAAATCCACAATGTGACTGGAATCCTACGCTTTGAACGCAAAAACAAAGCTGAAATAATGTCATAAGAAAATCTATGAACCTCAGGATTCAATGCCATGCGTATCAGCATAGCTGTCCATACATCCGGTGCCATTTTCACAGCTTGCCAAAAATAAGAAATTCCACTAACTACCCTTTCGATAGTTGCATGCCCCTGTAAACAAAATACAAATAAACAACAATCACACAACAACAAAATAATAAAAAAATAATAATTATTTAATAAAACCAACCTCTGATTCGATCGAATGTCTTGTATCAAGATTCTCATCAAACATACAAGAATCAACTTGATCATCAAGAAAAATATCTGCAACTTTTAGTATATCACGAACGATAAAAAGTCGCACTCTAAAACCCTTTTCGGATAAAATAAACTTAAAAAGATCTTCTGTAGCAGAAACAACAGCATGCATGTCAAAAGACTTCCACTCGAGTGGACTTGAGGATTTATTAGCATCTTTATC